GAGGAACTAGTTGGTTGAACAGGAGTCCATCGTTTTGTTTGTGCCATGTTTCGGTTAAGCACAGAAGGTCCAGTTGTTTTTCTTTGATAATGTCACATAAAAGAAGAGCCTTGCTGTTAACGGAGCGGGTGTTGAGTAGCGCTGATCTGGCCAGTCTCGGGGATGCAGGGGGAAGCGGAGTGCGGTCCAGATGAGTGCGGTCCTGTCTTTGACCAGGAAGTAGCTTTGTTTTAGTTGAAGTTGCAGTGCAGTGTACCTCAGAGACATGATCGATGAAGCGAGACGGGAAGGAAATCCAGAGAGGGCGGTAGCAAGAGGTGAAAGTCTTCAGTTGAGTAAGTTCACAATGCAGTGGAAGTCGCATTTTTGAATTTGTAACATGGAGCGGATAGCGTGAAGCGGATGAAAATAGATAAATTAGAAAAATCAGTGTAATCGAGGAGAAAAAGGAAAAAAAAACATAAGTAAGTAGATAGAAATGAAAAACTGGTGAGAGGAGCGGCAGCCAAATGCGCCAGCGTTCCCTCTCGACCGGAAATGAAAAAAAAGGAAAAACTTTTTATAGGCAAAACTATTTTGACTAATGTAGTACATTACAGTGTAATTGAATACTTTGTGTGATTAATGTGGAGGTTAGACTTGGGTCTTTTGGACTGCCTAAATACAACTTAAGAAAAGTTCATAATTTTATTATGGAAGATCAATTTAAATTGAAGTAGAGACATATTGAGGTGGTTTTACTTGAACATTCCATTTTTTTGTGCCAGCATAGTCTCTGTAACACTTCAGTCTTGTTTTAACACAGGATGTGGGGTCAATAAGTGGGAAACCATGTTGTTGAGCATTGCCATTTTTTATTTCTTAAATTATTTTGAGATGATTATATTATCCATTTCTGTCTTTCCACCTTACGGGGGTAAGAGACGCATATTACTGTGGAGTGCAGGTGATTGTAATGTTTAACACATCCTACTTATTTGACAAATTACCAGCTTGACCTGACAAATTTTACCACATTGTCATGTCAACATGACAACACCTTTGTAAATTATAAAATGTATAAATTTGAGAGCGATTCCATGCCATATTGTCTATATTGATGATACACTACAGCAGTGGTATACAAATTAGTTAATGCTTGTTCTAAATCTAAAGCAATATTTCACCTTTTCAGCTAAGGACATATGGCAAGTATTATTTTGTTGACCTCATTCTCAATGATGTGTCAGTTGTTTACAGGATGTTTTTAATAAATACACATCTTGGCATCAAAATGTCTTGGTTGCCTCCACATTGTGCATTTGCATATTTTGGTTGTTTATATCAAATCTGCTTAAAAATAAAAAGCATACCTTACTTGAGTTTACAGTAGATCAATGTTCATTTAGCAGAATTAATGCATTATTTTACTCTCATTTCATAAATATGGTGGGACCAAGATTTGGCTAAATGGACACATTTCTAATGTAATTATTTGTCTGGATTGAGGGACCCATTCACAGTGTAAATATCCCTAAAAGATTCTGTATTTTATTATTACGGGAACCTCATCATTCACAGAAGTATGTTAGTACTGCACTGGACACAATCTGATAGCATGCTAGGTGCATTGTCCGTGAAAAAGATTAATTGGTAACATTTTAAGATTACAATTAAAATATTACTATTAAAAAATATTTTTATGAAGTTTAAATGGTTCTCCCAGTTTCAAGAGAAGATTCTGTAAATTGTCCCAATCACAATTGTCATATTAAATATCTTTGCTGTCCCCGTTGGCAGTCTGGATGAGAAGAACTGCGAATTCTGGCTACATTGGGAAACCCGAGCTGCCTGTGTCATGACCCAGCAGGAAGTACAGATGATAAATGGCACCATCACAATCCCAGACACAGGGGCCAGCTTCAGCCTGGGGGCTATTTACTTCAGGTAAGGCACTATACACAGTGTCCAGCACACCCAATAGTTCTGTAGATCACCAATAGAGCCCTCCAAGAGTCTGTCACCAAACGTCATCCTCTATATAACTGTATCATTCCATCTGTATGGATTTTACTGAATATTTTGCTGCAAACAAGTTTTTGAAGTAAAATATGTAAAATTGTTATTGTAGACTTGAAATCCAAACTGAAATAATCTTTTATCACAAACTGCGAAGCTAACATCAGGTGATGTCTTTGGAAACATGCTACAAGTAGTGGATGATAGATTTATACTACTGTATTGATTAAACATTGTCCTTGATGAAATGACGTTTCTTACTTTTTCTTCTGATTAAGAAAAACACAACACGGTTGACCTGGGTGAATTAACTTAAACCAAAGTACAGATTTGGTGGGTCTGTTAGTCTTTCCTTTGTTTAATTATGGAATTATGAAAAGAGTTGTTGTTTTTTTATACTGTGTGCCACATTAAGCAGAATTGCAGTATTGCATTCCAGTAAAGCATAATTTCCTCAAGCAGGTCAGATTAAGTTCATGAGAATTTAATTTACACAAAAGAGTCATTGATTCCAAAAACCTTGCCTGGGTTTAATGCTGTATATAGATGCAAGTATAAATCATTTAATACAGTTGCTTGAATTGTTCTTGAGGTTCTCTACGGCTGAGATTCCCTAAGCTGCAGAGCACAAATGGCTGTGTGCTGTTTATGCTCTGTGCATTTGAGGTTTATAAGAACTTTCTTAGACGTGATGCAGAACGCATTGCTGTGGCTTACTAAGCTCTGAGATGAAACATAGTTGTAGGGACAACTCTGTTAGGTCTTTCTGATGCTGAACAGAATTACTTTCAGAACATGTAAGCAACATGTGGTCATGTGGTTGAGAGAGCCATCATAGCAATACATGTTTTATTTTAGCTTTGTAGCTTCTGTAAGGCAATTTCATTGAATCTGTAACATACAGCTTTCACTTACAATAGGGAGATTGGGCAAAATGATGGTAGAGTACATATAGAAATACTACACCCCTTTGAATGTATTTATTTGTTGTGTCGTTGTGTCAGTGCCCCAGAATTTCTTGTTTTTAAACGTATTTTTTCTTCTCTTGTACTCCACAACTTTAATATAATGATATATTAAAAATACAATATGAAACATAATTACATAGGTTTCCACCCCACTTGGCAGAAACAGTTAAACTGTGAGTTCTACCAACTTTGCAGACTCCGATTTGCCATATTTGACAGTTCTTCTTTACAAACTGGTATCACGTTCCTTGGGAAACCTCAATGGACAGCCATCTTTAAAATTTGTGGCATGATTTAGAGTGGATGTATGTCAGTGCTGTGACTGACTCAAGGATTTTTATTGTTTTGATCCTTAGCCACTCTGGTGTAGATTTTGCTGCATGTTTTGTGTCTTTGTCTTGCTGAAAGGTAAACTTCCATCCCGGATTCAGCTTTCTTTGATAGGATAGCATGATTTCTTTAAGGTGTTTTTTGTATTTTGCTCGACTTGTTTTTGCTTTTAGCGCTCATCCCTGATCAGAAACATCCTCTAAAACAAAGTGATTTTTAAAATTAGTTAAGGTGGTCATAATATATGTAAGGCAACAATAGAAGAAGGAAGGAGCCATCAGTCAAGAAAGCCTGTAGCCATGTGGCAAAAAGTTCTGTGGTCTTAATAAGTTAAAATGAAAACGTTTGGCCTTATCAATTACATATTGTCAATTTTGGCACATTGGTCCAAACACAACACAGCACATCATCCAAAGAACAGCATCCTTACTGTGAAGCAGGGTGGTAGCAGGATCAGGTTAATGCATTTTAAATCCAAGTTATAAGGCAACAAAAAGTGAATATTTCGAAAGGGGTGTAGACTTTCCATAGGCATTGCACATATCATGTGTAAAGTGATGTTTTTTCTTAATACAGTGGGGGTAAAATATAATAAGCATAAGCATATTGAAACATATTTCAATATGAAATTTTTATATAGTTTGTCTTGTACAGTGGGCGTAGAAAGTGTTAGCTCCCATTGTATTTTCCCAAATTTTGTTGTGTTACAACCACGAAACTCGATAGACTTAAGTATTTTTGTCCCTTTTGATCCATATAGTATCCTTTCTAATATCAATGTGTTTTAAAGTTTGGCGCTAAAAACATAAATTAGTTCAAAAGAAAAACCCTAGAAAAGTATTTACCACCTTAGCAATAATAAGCTCTGCCTCCACCAGTTGCCTTCAGAATTTGCACAATATGCTGATTGGAATCCCTTTGTGTGCAGCTAAAGTGGTTAACCATTCAGATTGAACCACATCTTTCTTTGTACATCTAAATACACCTGTCTGTGTGAGTTGCCACCACATTGTAAAGTTCTGGACAGTTACATAGACATTGTACAGTTATGGACAGACAAGTCAGGTGAGGGATATGAAAGGATTTCAATGGTACTGGTTATCCCAGGGAGCACTGTTAAATCAATTATCAGGAAGTGGAGGGCATCTAAAACTCAGAATCTTCAACGACCAGGTCATGCTCCAAAACTCAGCAGGTGGGTAAGAAGGACGTTTTTCAGAGAATCAGTCAACAGGTCGAAAACCCTCAAAAACCTATGATGTCTCATTATTGAGATGGTAGAAACTATGAGTGAGTCAACAATACCTCAGGTACTCTGTAAATCTGGGCTGTGTGGTAGAGTGGTGAAGCGGAAGCCATATTTGAAAAAAGCTTATATAAAGTCCCTCCTTAAATATGCAAAAAGATACATAGGAAAAAATACTGAAAAAAAAATGTAGTCTGGTGAGAGAAAAATTGAGTTATTTGCCCTTAATGCTAAGCGTTTTGTCTTGTGAAAGAAGAACACTGCTCATCACTCACAAAACACCATTCCCAGAAGGTTTGGTTTGGCAGCGTAATATTGTAGAGTTCCTTTTCATCAGCAAGAACTTGTTGGCTTGTCAAAATAGAGGGCAAAATATAAAACATGCAGATCCTGGAACACAACTAAGAACAGTCTGCAAAAGATCTGCAACTGGGATGGAAATTCAGATTTCAACAGGAGAGTGACCACAAACACAAAGCCAAAGCAATCCTTGAGTAGTTTAAACTGAAGAAGGTGGAAGTGCATAAGTGGCCCAATCTAAGTCCAGAGTTAAATCCCATTAAAATCTGTAAATCTGTGGTGTGACGATCACTGTACACCACCGCTCCCTCAGTAACCTGCAACAGCTGGAGCAATTTTGCAAGGAAGAGTGAGTGAAAATTAAACCCACAAGATGTGAAAAGCTGGTTAAATCATCCTGCAAAAGGGGGAGAAACTAAGTATTAAATTCTTAAAGTCTTAGAGGGGTGAATACTTATTCTGATGAGTTTTCTATTTTTTTTTTTGTGTACAATAAAAATGATTGTCCCATCAAAATTTTAAGTATCTTTTGTTAATCGTACAAAACTACCCTATTCAAATTGTTTTGAATTTGAGGAGATAACATGGCAAAATGTGGTAGAGGTCTAAAAGGGGTCAATACCTTCCACATCCAATGTTTATTTACAAGGATTTTTCTATGCTCATGTACACTAACCGTGTTTGTGGCAATATACAGGGTAAAACAAAAAAAAAGTCACCACTAACAAAAAATTATAAAAATAACATTGAATCGAAATAAAGAGTGAGGGAAAAATATGGATTTCTCAGACTGGCATAGTGAATTCCAGAGTAATGGAGCACGGTGTCTGAAAGTACGTGGCCAGAGTTGCTTGTATCTATAAGAAAGTACTGCTAGAAGGAGTGCCTCAGCAGAGTGTAAAACCCTATTGGGTACATAGGCAGTAATGAGATGTGCTATGAATTGCGGGGATTTGGTGTGTAGGACTTCAATTGTTAACAATTAAAAAATTTAATTGAATGAACTGGGTAATGGGTAGCCAGTGAAGATGCCAGAATTGAGGTGATATGGTCGTGGAACCTTGAACACATTAAAAGTTTAACAGAATTTTGGACCATCTGAAGTTTGTGTAAGTAGAAGAAGGGAGACCTTCTAAGGCTATTACAGTAATCTAGTCAGTAAGGAACAAATCAGGATTTCTACAGCAGTATTAATCAAAAAGAGACCAAATGCAGATAATGTTTCTAAGGTGAAAGTAAGTCTCTCTCTCTCTCTCTCTCTCTCTCTCTCTCTAATTACTTCAGATTTTCCTTGACTTTGAATATTCCACTTATTATTTATTATACAATTTACATTCCTAAACAAAAAGATAAAAAATGACATACACTGTCGAAATCAGGATTTTGACCATCCTCTGTAATTCTTACAGTTATGTTACTAGAACAAAATTAACCTTGATCAATTTAAAAAATACCATTATATATACAATAGAGTACATGTGTATCATACATAATCAGAAGTATATAAAATCTCATACTGTATATATTTTCATGTACTGTATGTTGTTCGCACCTACAGAAAATGCATTGCTTGGCAACAATTACAGAAATTATTTTGAACATGTTTTAATTACAGTATTCTGAAAATGTTTTTGTTCACCAGGATGCACACAGCATATGGAGACATAAGATCAAATGGAGATAAGTACATCTATAATATCCAGCTGTCTGGGATTACAGACACATCCTCTGGTTGTTTAGGAGCCAATATTTGCCAAGTAAAGGTCAGTGGAGAATACAAAAGGAAAATTGGACACTCCAGCTCAGCCAAATACTATGTTAAAGGTAAACCCAAACATATTTTATTAAATTAGGCATATTCATTTTAAAGGTAGTAATTACAGTAAATCCAGCATTTGGAATTTTGTGGAAAAGTGAACTGTGTAAATGAAAACTATGGTTGTCACAGCTGGTAATAATCACTTTACTTTATTGTTAATTTTACTTACGGATGCCAGTAGGTCACTAAATGGAAAAACAGCAAATTGACACATGAACATGGCCTGATGTAAAATAAACTTGAACAGTCCAGTTTTGAGAGATAAATGTAAACTGGATTAAAATATAAGCGTATGCCCTTTTTAATTATACTCAACAGTCAATGTAATGTCAACATCAAACTCATAAACAGCTTAGCTCTTTCACATTTCACAAAATGCAAGGTTTTAGATTAAATTTGTAGATAAAACTGAAAAGTGTGTAAATAAAAAAAAATAATCAATAAACACTAAAGTAAAAATTATTTGCTTTTCTAGATGGAAACTTAGATGTGGTGATCCCCTCAGATTCTCTCTGTGGCCGGGATAAATCCAAAAATGTGTCCTCCACCATTATCTTCCAGTGTAACCCATCAGCAGGTGAAGGGATCCCAGAATTTCTCCTAGAAGCAGACGACTGTCAGTACCTCTTTCATTGGCACACATCTGTTGTGTGTGATCTTGTGTAAGTTACAGAGGTCTCTACACATTAGTCTGTTACAAAAAATGCATTTAAACCTTTTCATTCCTGTCTCAAAGCTAAATAAAAGAATAAGATACGTCTGTTCTTATGAACTCTACTTTTACTCATAATATATGGTCAGTACTATATTAGATTGGCCAAAGTTCAGGATAAGTATCTCAAAGTGTTGCATATGAGTGGCCTTGCAAAAGGGACTATTCTTGAAGTGCATCAGCCTATGGAAGAAATGTATATGAACAAAAAATCTATTTCTCCCCCGTTAACTTATTAAGTTGTGATTTCTGTGTGAATTTATGGCAATAAATTGAAACTTCATTTATTGAAACTTTACAAATTTTTAAAATGTCCAACAATTCTGAGTAATTCAAATGGGTATTAAGAAATCAGAATTACAGTGAGGATAACTAGAAATAATTTTGTTTTGAAAAAATATTATGCTTGATTAATATATCCCTCTACACATGCCACATGACAGAAGCAGTGAGCATTGACAAAATACCATTACGTGCATCTGGCCTCCCATCGTTCCATGTGTGGAGAGGCAACATTAAAATAGAGCTTTTTCCCTTCCCACGCTTAATGGCTTGAAAGCCTAGGTATTTCTCACTAGGTTGCTCTGGGGACTATAATAAATGGTTAGAAGTTTAATTGGGCTGTTGAGCACGAAGAAATCATTGATTAGGCTCTGAATTAAACATCTTTTGTCTCCGCAAGAACAGTATTTTTCTGTGTGTAATTGTAAGCTTTGCATTTCAAGCAGTTCATTTCTGGCTCCATCTCTTCAACTTCCTGAAGTGGTTTTCTCTTTATATTGTTATTATAAATGAGGTGCTGTTCTCAATTGAGTCTTCAATCTCAAAGAAACTCTTAACGTTCAAAGCAGATAACAAATACTGATGTACCCCTTTTTAGAGAGTAACACCCTTTCTCTCTAAACTCACTTGGGAAACCAACACTGATCAGGGAACGGATCCTGCTTTTTTGCTTTTGGGTCCTCCTGTCTTGCAAATGAAAATGAAAGACAAACCAAAATCAAAACTTAATGAACAGTTTCAAATACCATATCACAACAAAATTAAGTTAAACTGTTACTCAAAATCTATATTTTCTTATTTGAATAATTGCCTGTTTATACTCAAATGTATTTCTGTCATCTGGTTAATTTGGGCTGTAACTTGTAAAGCAATTGTCCTGTAATCGTTGGCAAATTTATACTATGTAGTGAGCGTAGATATTACTGGCCCTACAAAGTTTTTTTTCTCCCCCCACCCTCCACTAACAACCTAATTTTAACATGTGCCAAATTCTAACCCAGGATCTAACCTTAACGTGTTTTTGGTTTAACCAATGATACAATTCAAAAAGTATACATGGACCATAGTTTATTAATCTATTTATTGTTTTAAATGAATTGTAACATTAGATGATTAACAGAGTTCTTTTGAGCTTTATACTTCAGTGTTTGCTAATGCGTAGAACATGGCAATAATTTAAGAAATATATAAAGTATATCAGTGTTTACTGAAGTGTTCTGGAATAGAGTGCTGTAAGACTTTTCCCCTTTTCTAACTCTGACCTATCAAATATCCTCATCTGTTAGGTGGTATGTTAATATCTAGGCATATTTATTTTTCAAAAACATTTTAATCAGTTTTTAAAAACAAAACAACAAGGGAGCAAAGTGAGGAAGTTTTATGAATGTCAAGAAGAAGGTGTAAGAAGGAGCTTAATAGAAAACTGTATTTGGACATGCTTCTTAATTTGCATCAATACTGCTGTTCTCTATGCAGAATATTATCATGTACACCTTCAGCCTGTGATTCAAGGCACACTTTTCCTTTTGTTATCAAAGAAGATTTTTTTCCAAAATGATCTGCTTTGGTAGATCTATTTTGGTATGGAGTTTGTAATTATTTTCTTGAACCTTTCTCACAGTGCTGTGATGGATAGTGGCAAAAATGACAAGAGTGACAGTGGGCTTATAGGTCTGTCTGGAAGAAGTCAGGCAGTGGGAGCTGTGCTGAGTGTGCTGTTGGTAGTGCTCACAGCTTGTCTCCTCATCCTGCTACTATACAAACGGGAAAGGAGGTAAGACAGCAGAGAACATGGAGTGCAATTCAGGTATTAGTTAGTGTACCGTAACGTTTGTAGTCATGTGCATGTGCCCTTTGATCTAGCAGAATGAATTCTGTAACCATCCCTTAGACCAAGCTTGGCTATTTTATAGTGATTTTTTAATAATGATCCACTTCTTAGAACAAAAGAAGCTTTATTGGATTGTTTCACCATGAATTGCAGTGTGCACACTGGTATTGTTTGCATGGATCCTGGAACTGGTTAAAGTCTCAGTGCACAGGCAGACCAGCACTCCATTCTAATACGTCTGTGCAGCAATAAGTATGGGTCATGTATGTCTCACTCTAGTCTCGAAGAATATAATTTATACTGAGTGGTCCTCTCTTTTGTGTTAGCTGTATACGTCAGTTTGTTTTGCTAAAATCGTTAGTAGGTTCTTTTCTTAGTTATTATTTTACCCTGTCTGTATCTTTCAAAGCACTTTAAAAAAAATTATTCCAGCTATATATTCAATATAGCTAATTTATCTTACACCTAAAGGTATTTTGCCACAGGCTCAGTGCAGCTAATTTAAAGCATTAATAAGGTTAGGGGGCTTTGTGTTTGGCTGTAGATACTGTGATGTTGTTTTTAAATATTTTTAGATTGGGTTTTAATTCAGGACTTATTAATGTCCTGATTAATTTTGTGTTCTTGTTATTTCATCCTATGCTTTATTGGAGAAATATGAAATATGAAAAGTATTTTGTGTCTGTAATAAGTTTAATTTTTCGTAGGGAACTGGTTCTGCAGAAGGTGACTGGGTGCTGCAGAAGAGGAGGGAATATTTCCTATAAATATTCAAAGGTAGAGGATACTTTTGAAAAGTTTACTAAGTATGTTTAAGAAATATAAAAAACAAATGGTGCTGTTAGTGTCATTTTCTTGTATACTTAATATTTTTAAGTTAAATTCTTTAGAAAAAAAAGGAAAGTTTGTGACTTTAAGTGTTTGTTCCCAAAGAGGACATTTGGTAGGAGGGATAAATCTGGATAATTTGTTGACCTAAGATTGTAGGTGTCTTACTCTGCTCGATTTTCTCTTGACAGATAAGTACAGAAGAAGATGGGGCAGAGGATGAAACTGAGTGGCTGATGGAAGAAGTTGCCACACCCGACTCATTGTCTCGAGTAGCAAAGGAGTGCCAGGAGAATGGGCACATCACCACTAAGCCTGTCAATGCAGATGCCTTCAATGCATTCCCTCTTGATGAGCAGGACAGTGAGGATGAGGTGCTGACAGTTCCAGGAGTGCGCATCCAGTCTAGCCAGCCAAGTCTTGAGTGGCAAAATGGCAAGGCTAGCCCAAAAAGGCCTTTGCTAGAGCAGGAGAGCGATGATGACCTAGTGGAATTTCTTGGAGAGAAAAAAACCCGGCCTAAATGCAAAGGGAAGACACAAAGGAAGAGAGCAGAGAACCTTACCTCCTTCCATGATGACAGTGATGAAGACCTGTTGAAGGTGTGATGCCTTCCTTGATACCAAACTCCTGCCTGAACTAAGTTCATCAGAACAGCTCTGACTGAATGCTTCTATAATTATCCACCATTTTCTAAAAAGGGAAAATATTGGTTTACGGTTTAAAATAACTTTTTGTTTCCTTGATCAGTTCCTGATGATACCCAAAATGATTTTCATGGATGTTCTTTAATATGATTTTTTCAGTTCTGAGTTTATTTTTCTAAATTTGTTTTTCAGAATGCTTTCAACATTGTTAATTATGTTTTTTAGGACTTCTCTTCCAATCACAGTCAGACTCCTATTATGAAAGACTAGGTACTCTGTGCTTTAGGTTAAAATATACAACATGAAAGTGCTTCAGGCCCTAAACCTATTGAAGATGCTAAAAACCCACTTTTTGCAAAAAAAATTTGTGGAGACTTCATTGAAACTGTTGAAGGTGTTGCTTGTCATTATTTTGGGTGAGTTACACTGACATGAAATGACAGTGCTGTCACCTTGAGGTACTATATGTCCTCTGAGAGAGTACTGAAATGCTAAGAATGCATTGTGTTCTGTTTTTTGTAATATAGTATGTTAATTTAAATAATGACAATGTTGTACATAACAGCACATCAAATCTGATAAGACCCACCACTGGCACATGCAGTTTTTTTAAGGTTCCTGTGCCATGTGGGTTATCCGTTTCTTAAAAGGTCACAACATCCATGAGATTGACCATATGAGTTAGAGGATAGGGAATTCGGGAGGAAGGTGCCACCTTCTATACCTCTTATAATTGTAGTCTAAAATGATTATTTCTGGGTTTCTAGAGGCTTAAGAACAGTTTCTTTCACTTTGCCAAAATCATTTGTATGCTTTTATACAATTAAGGCTTGCCCCAAGTTTAATTTTAATCAAACCAGTGCCATTGAAGAGTGTATTTCAAAGCTAGAGGCCCCTTTTCAGCCTTTCTCAGCAGTATCAGCAGTATTAATCTGAGGCTTTATCAAAGACGTTTGATCTTAACACGTATCGGGATCACCTGTTCCAAGATCACATTTCATGTTAGTTTTCGCATGCATTTAGTTTAATGAATCATCATTTTAACCAGTGATTACCTGTAGTTTTTCAAATATTCTCTACAGTATATGTTATGGTTTGCTATGGTGAATTCATTGCTTTTTAGAACAGACTGGGCAACAACCATACCATTTTTTCCACATATTAAATTAATGAAACATTACTTAATGCATCAGTTGTAAGACACATTCCAAGTTGTGATGTAAAACACATTAAATTGTGCTTCTGATATTTCACTTTTGGTTCTTTGAAAATGAAGCATTGAATGATTTTAAAATGCTTTTACTGCATTGGATTGGATTACTGCAGTAAAATGTTAGATATGCTGTTAATTCTGGTACTCAAAGCTAATTGTCCTCCAGTGTTATAGATAAAGATGACTGCTCATTCTAACTTTTTGACATTCTAGAACATATGCCAAAGTCTCCTTTTCTTTGTTTTGAGAAAGTTGGATATTTGAGAAACCAAATATTCAGTGCTTAAACTTGATGATTGCAGTATGTCAGCATGCACTTTCAGAAATTTTCAAAGCTTATCACTTCTTTGGTTGTTTTTCAACATACAGTACTTTTAGAAAATACATTTCCTAAAATTTTAAAAAGTGAAGTAAGTCTGGCACTGGAAAAAACTTGAAAATTAACCTACGTATTTATGCAAGTTTCAGACAGCTGCACATTATAATATGGTTATTGAAGATTATGTTTATTGAAAGAGTTTCTGTGGTTAAGCTGAGTAAGAGCTCTTAGTGTTTATTACTGTTCAAGACAAGAGAGGTCATGAGTGGGATATGTACATTTTCCAGATGTGCCCGAAAATGCAAAGCAAGTACTATTTAATAAATGTGGCCGTAGGACATTATTTCAGTTTCCAGTTCAAAACTAAATTTTGTAGTGATTTATATTTGCTTTTTTTTCCACATAGACTAACCACAGTCAATGTGGAATTTCCCACTGATCTACAAATGCGCGCACATGCATACAGTAAATGTATATCATACACTAGCTAAAAGGATGCAAATACACTTTGAAGGATCTACATTTTGATGTTTTTTTCAAGGAACATACACAACACTGGCAGGCTGTGGTTAATACCAGAGGTTTAATCTTTCCTCAGACAGCTCAGACATGCATCTGTTGTTTTAGGAATGTGATCAATATTCCGGTGTGGCAAGATATAGGATGCTCCTTTTAGGTACAGACACTGAAAGGAATTCTTTAATTGTGATGCTTTTCTTTGCAGGGGCTATTCTTTAATTACACATGATCTGTTAGTCTTACTGTATCTCTGTTGATTGGCCAAACTCTTGAAAAGGTGTGATGTTCTGGCATCCATTATTCATAAGACCTGGTTTTTGGGTTAATGGTTATTTGATGGTCTGCAAATGAATAGCAATTTCTGCATAGTTTGTCAAAATTCTCCAAAGGGGAGTTTCAGCTCATGTATGTCAGTGAAAGTAATAGTTTTGTGAAAGAAAGTTTCCAATCTTAAATCACCTGTGAATCATACTGTATATACAGAAAAATAATAAGTATAATCACAATTCTGCCATTAGTCATTAGTGAGTTAGTCTTAGTGAGAACAAACTGAACAAGCCGTTACACTGAACAGACATAGCCTCTCAACGAATTGCTACAAGTTGTTAGAAATAGAATAGAATCTTACAAATATAAGAACTCCTGATGCCTTGGCTGAGAATGGCAACACAGGTATTTGCCCCACTAATATATCACCTTTTTTTAAATTTATCTTTCTGTGGTTCTGAGATGAATAGGTTCACAAATATATACAGTACATTGTACTAGGTTTCCAATTATGTTATTGAAGAAATGAAAGAAATTGTACTAGTATGTGTAATTAATGCCAATGACTGGAGGAGTTAATGTAGCTCCGTGTAATAGGTTATTTGGGAAAGAGACCATTCACCTGCTTCCTTAGCTAGATTTCTAAGGAGAGCACTGCTCACATTCAGACCCACTTCTGGTGGCAGTAGTATCACTACTTCTTACAATAAGCGTGCTCCTCTGCTGAATGCTCCAAAGCATGAGGGCTTGGTATATTACTGATGGTAATTAAGGAAAATAAAGCTTTGAACCCTCTTTTTGTTGTATTTTTTTTCTTCTGGTATTGGGTTCTAGAGAGTTAGAATCTATTTTTACCAAATTGTTTTACCGGCACTGCTTTTTTGTGTGTTTCCTATTTAAGAATTGATTGAGTTGATGTAAAATAAAGTATTGCATTATTTAAATAAAATATCAACCTTCATGTTCTAAATGTTTATTTCTCATTTTTGATGGGAGACAAATAGGAACAAATTCCAATTAAAATGTGTGTTCTGATTTCTGTCCAGAAGCTTTTCCCAGCCAGATTCTCATTTTTTTAATGGAAATTAAACATGTGGTCGAAGCTTTGTTTAAATTCTATAAAAAACATAATTCCTTCATAGCAGTAAAAACACAATGAATGTGTATAATAAGTGTATAATTTAATTTGGTCTTTAAAAATTTGGTAAAGCAAAAATAAAGTTTTCCTGTTCCAGAGCCACAGATGTTATGATACCACAAGACAAGCAGCTTGAGCAAAATGGACAATAGAAGTAACTGGTTCTTAAGAGAGGCTCTTTCCCTCTTATCACTAAGAACTGGCACAGATGTATTGAAACCTACTGGGGATATTGTGTGGCTGTTGTGAACACTTCAGGCAGCAGAGATAACCATTGTTACGGTCAGTACTCTCCACTTAATCACCAAGAATACAGAAACTCAATATTGTAATATATGATTAAAAAAACTAGTGTGTATATTATGTATAACTACTGTATATACAGTATACAGTATATAAATTAAAAATGCTCAAAATTTTCAAATTCAGGGTCCTCGGGTATGGTTGTTCTATGTAAAGAGCTGTACAGGATCTTGATATTTGGGGCTTATATGAACAATATCATTCTCCAGGAGGTACATGTCCATGGATAGTGACTGTACCCAAAAACATTAAAAAAGGCTCCATGTTGGTGTGTTTCTTGTAGTTCTCATTATCCAATTTGTATCTGTACTACAGTGGATATCAAAAGTCTACACACCCTTGTTAATTGAATTTTTTTGTTAATGTAAAGGCTGAACTCAAGGCAAATCATGTCAGACCTGTTTCACACTTAAGATCTTGTAACCAACAATATTTCAGTGAACAATTCTTAGGAAAAAAATACATACATTTGCATACCCTTTATAAAGGAGGTTGTAACTATATTCAGATTTAACCAATCCCATTCCAAATCATGTACAAAGGTAATTTGTGTTTACCTGACATGAACTGAATTAATTCTGATTAGACCTAAATAAAATCTATTCCTGTATGACTTCCCTGAAGGCTTCTTGATTGCATAGTGCAGAGATAACCATGGTCCACAAGACACTAACAGATCTACAGGATCTTATTGTTGGAAAGGCACAGATCAGGAGAGGGATATATAAAATAATCTCGAAGGCATTACATATATAATGGAAGTGGAGACCATCATTAAGAAGTGGAGGAAATATGGCACCACCAAGACATTGCAAAGATCAGGGATATGTATTTATCCCTACATATTACAACCATTTCACATATTCTCCAAAAGTCTTAGCTGTGGGGTAGGGTGGCAAGACAAAAGTCATTTCCCATAAAAGTTATTCTCCTAAATAACAGTTGGCGGTAAAGCCTTTAGTTACAGTGCCGCTAGTTTATGGAACAGTCTCCCACCCCAGATGCCGATTCAATCTCAGTTATTAAATCCAGACTGAAGACCTATTACTGAAGACCTATTGCTCCAGCCTAGCCTACTCACACCTTACTTTATATCCTGCTGCATCCATGGCTGCTGGTGCTGCTGTACATGCCATTGTGTGTCTCTATGTCGGCCCACCAGGTAGATACATCTGTTCTAACCAAACTATCCTATTCTCCTCCCCACATGTCCGGATGGTGCCCGGGCTGGGTACCATCTGAGTTGGATGCTGCATCACTGCATCAGCTGATGTGTGGTGAGCATTCAGGCGCACTGTGGCTGCCGTCTCATCATCCAGGTGGATGCTGCACATTGGTGGGGGTGGAGGGGAGTCCCCGTTACCTGTAAAGCGCTTTGAGTGGAGTGTCCAGAAAAGCGCTATGTGTAAGCAATTATTATTATTATTATCACTGCCATGGATCCAAGAGGGACATTGTGGATATACAGTAGCTATCATTTAGGAGATCTCCATGGAGTACTAACACAGAAGACATGATGGATGGATTGGATTAATACCTTCATTGTTTCCTTTTTTTTAAATAATATAATGTATATAATATAATGCCCAAAGGGGTTGGGCAACCAGTTGACCTTGGACACTTAGAGGTTTTTTTCTCCTTACTAAGGAGGTTTTTGGTTCCTCTCCCCCATTGTCTTCTGGTCTTCTGTTCTGTCTTGACAAAATGTATCGTCAATTGTATTGAAAAGCGCTTTGGGGCAACCTTGTTGTGAAAGGCGCTATATAAAAATAAATTGAATTGAATTGAATAAAAAAAGAACAACCAAACTCGTAAACATTTTGCAAGAAGACACATTCAATCTCCCAGTCTCACACCATGTGGGAAAATGCCTTATGGTCTGATGAGATCAAGGTAAACTTCTTGGCCTTAATCCCAAAAAAAATATGTTTGGTGCAAAGCCACACAGCTAATCACCCAAAGAACACTCTACCTACTGTCAATCATAATAGTGACACCATCATGATTGTGGCTGGTTCTCTTCAGTGAGAACAGGGGATATAGTCAGGATAGAGGGGAAAATGAATACAGTAGGTCCAAATATCAAGATATTTTGGTACAAAATCTGCTGCCTTCTCCCAGAAAGCTGAAGTTAAAGAATAATTTCATCTTTGAACACGATAATGATCCAAAGCACACAGTAAACTCAACCAAGGAATGGCTTAGAAAAATGAAGATCAATATCCTGGAATGGCCCAGTCAGAGTCTGGACCTCAGTCCTATAGAAGATATGTTGACTGACCTAAAGAAGGCTGTGCACAGGAGATCTCCTCACAATTTGACTGAGCTTAAACTCTTCTGCAAAGAAGAGTGGGATAAAATTGCAAAATCCAGGTGTGCTAAATTGATAGAGACCTATCCAAACAGACTTACTGCTGTAATCAAAGCAGAAGGTGCTTCCACAAAGTATTAGTTAAATGGTGTGCACACTTATGCAACCAAGGCATTGAGAGTTTTTTATTTTTATTTATTTTTTTACTTAAAATGATCCATTTGCTTTTCACTTAAAATTGTTGGTTACAAGATCTTATTAAAGGAGAAAAAAGATATGACAATTTGTCTTGATTTCAATGTTTTTCAACAACAAAACCTGGAATTAAATAGATAGATAATAGATTTATTAATTCCGTAGGGCAGTGGTTCTCAAACTGTGGTACTCGTACCGGCAGTGGTACGTGGCGTGCCGCCAGGTGGTACGCCAATTGACCCTGGAACTGTGTTGTGTGTGCTGAAAATATCGGGACGGGTTTTCATATTTTGTATTTTTATACGTGTCCAATACGCAGCCTACGTACTACGATACAGTGCGCGCTAATACTTCAGTAGACACAAGAGATACTCTGTAATTCTATACCACTCTATAGGAATGCGTGCTACGGACGCAAGTGACCAATTGTATTTAAAAAAGCTACTGTATCTCCAGCAAATAGGGAGAAAGGAGAATGTGCGT